ATAAATAAATAAATAAATTAGTAAAAAACTGATCAGTGGCCATGTAGGAATGAGAAGTTAGGCACCATAAACACAGCTGCTGACCAACAACCACTGACACACAAGAAAATGTTTTTTATGGAATAGGTCTGAGTCTTGGCCTGAAACTATGCTGACATCAGATTTGAGTTATTTTTTACTTTTTCCAGTGATGCTTCAAACATCGCTTGTGCTACTACATCTCCCAGAGCCTTTAGTAAACCAAGAAATCATTTAGAATTTGAATCCTTGGACATGGGCTGGGCTGGGCTGGGCTGGGACAGTATAGAACAGATTCTTTGGTCAACAAAAGGAAGACTTTGGTGCAGTTTAAGGAACTATTTTTGCAAGTTGTTTTGAAGTATTTCCTTTTCTAGAACTTCTTTGTCCTTACAATCATGTACTCAGCCATTTTGACAATATGTCACACACATTTGGCAAATAATTAAATCATCACCCATTTCCAATTGACTATATTTATTAAAGAACCAAGGAGGAAAAAGTCAGATGCTTTAAGATTAAACAAAGACATACTTGTATCTAAATCAAACTTACCAGGAATTTGAAACCTAAAGCAGGTTTTAGAGATGCCCTGGGAATTCACAGCCTGGAATGTTCTTGACTTGTCAATAGTTCAAGGATAAAGGAAGACCTCATAATTTCTTCAGGGATGGGTAATATTAACTTCCAGAACAAGACTGAAAATGCCTACCTAATCAATACGTGGGAAAACCTGGTAATGTTGATATTCCTCCAGGTGATTTCTATGTATATTTAACATAAAGTTGAGATTTGGGAAATAAGAAAGAAATCAGTTTTGAACATGTAGTAATGATTTCTTTCTTTTTTTTTTTAGTCTAGTGTAATTAAGTTGGAGACCTCTAAGCATGTTCTTTGTCTGAAGACAGCGGCTAGTAAGAAATAAGGAAAAGTTGTGTTTGTCACAAAACCTTGCATAATATGATGATGAAATACTAAACATATAAAAACAGTATTTATGTTAGGTTAGATGCAAATGGCATTTAACTTAAATGACAAGAACATGGACAGCACAATGTTTTTTTAAATATTTTTGGGATATTAATTTACTAAGAAAATATTTCTATTGTTTTGATTAGAAAGCCAAGGTAAACCAAGATATCTCTGCAAGGTAAAAACTTGTGCTATTGTTTTGTCCAAAAGGGTTTTATAACAAATCTAAACATAAATTGAATTATTAACAGTTCAATCGAAAAATCCAGTCTGAAATGAAAATTAAAAAAAGTCTAATATGTACCTGAATATGTTTAACTTATTAAAAAAAATCTTTTTCCCATTACAGGAGAAATGCCCAAAGGCAACATAATCAAACTCAAGAAAATCCTTTTCCTACAGACTCTACTCTTTGTATGTATATGTGCTTAGTTTAATGTATTAAATTAAAATTCAATATTAATCAAAAGAAACAATGTTTTTATATACAAATGCACACAGAAACGTAAAATTTGGCAGTATCATTCCTTGCTGCTCAATATTTAATTCTTTTAAAAACGTTGACTCAAACATCCCTTTTTACTTAATTCCAGCCTAAGCAGCAATACATATATAAAACCTAAGAATCTCATTAGGATTAGAAGCAAGGCAACCATCCAGAGGAACCAGCTGTAGAAAACCACAGTTCAAAACTTGCTAAGCTTTTATGGTAACTGATAACAGCTAGCATATTTTGAAATTAAAACTCAAAAGAAAGAGTATAGTTTTTCAACACAATGCTGGGACAACTCCAAAGCACATTGTAATTCTTTTAGCGGGACTTTAAAACAAACACTTGTGAAATGAAAATTGATATTTGCACTCAAAAACATGGATTCAAGCTGCAAGTCTCATTTTAAAATACTGAGCACAGCATCTTTATTCCCATTGTTCAGATATTGGCAGGAGGAACCACAAATGTTAGGAATAAGTACTGACAGAGATGGAGCACATGGAGTTCTTCAGCCCTGCTGCCTGCCAGCATGTTGCTTCCAAAACATTCTCCATGGATGGATGTTGCCGTAAGCCTCAACAGAAAGATTTTCTATTCCTGCAGGAAACTGTTCTTACTTTCATGTGAGACTGGGACTTTCAGTGCACTATTACTGTGAAATGTGGTTATCCATCTAAAAATCATTATGAAATGCTAACTTCAAAGGAGTTATCATGACGGTTTCTTTCCCTTCTTCCTATGTTTGGTTCTTCAACAAAACAAGTAAAAAAATACAGTACCGGAAGCGTTTTAGCAAATGGTATTACATTGGCCACGGTTAGCATGTATTACATTGTATAAATTGTCAAGAACTATATATGCAACTGTAAATTTATTTAACAATTAACACCAATAAAAAAGGAAAATAACAATAACTGGTATCCAATGTTCCAAAAATTGGGTAATATCTAAGAGTTACAATTCTTAAAATCCGAGCAATGTAGTCACCCTGAAACTTTTAGTTTTGGCTTCATTACTTGTTGCAATAATTTAAGATTAATCATAAATCAGCTTTAAGACTAATGTTAATAATATGGCAATCGCTTAAGAACCTAATTAGCACCATTCCCTGCTTCCAAAGTTATCAAGACTTAAGAATGAATATACTGGCAGGGATCCAGAATTGATCTATGCAAATCAACAATCTACTTAACTAGAGTTCCAAGTTACTCTAAAAGAATGCGACACCAAAGAAATGTGCACATTAAGAATCTTCATTTATCAGCAAGGGTTCTACCTCCAAGGCCACTGAACCAAGTCTCTTGTTTTGTTGTCTGTATATAATGAATTGTGCAGTTATCTGGATGTAAAGTTAAGAGAAATGTTATTGAGGTGAAAGAAAAACAACTTGAAAATGAAAATGGCATAATTTAAGAAAAATAAAAAAAATACTCTTACCACTCATATACAAAAACAAGGAAATATACAAAAACAAATTCATATATACACTGCTTATCCCTTCTCTGGAGCTGGACAAGAAAATGTTCCTTGCTTCCAGGGCTGCAATAGGTAACTGCATGAGGATAAGAGAGAAACATACAGACAAACACACACACATGGGGGAGAGGGGAGGAGAGAGATATTTTCATTTCTGCTTTGAAATAAAAATATTGGGAAATATACATCACTGGGAAATATACAGGTCCTTGACGTACGACCACAATTGAGCCCAAAATTTTTGTTGCTAAGTGAGACAGTCCTTAAATGAGTTCTGCCCCATTTCACGATCTTTCTTACCACAGCTGTTAAGTGAATCGCTGCAGTTAAGTTAGTAACACAGTTGTTAAGTGACTCTGGCTTAACTTTGCTTGGAAGAAGGTCGCAAAAGGGGATCACGTGATCCTGGGACACTGCAACGGTCATAAATATGAATTAGTGGCCAAGCATCTGAATTATGATCACGTGACCGCAGGGATACTGCAATGGTCGTGTGAAAAATGATCCTAAGTCACTTTTTTCAGTGCCGTTGTAACTTGGAAAGGTCGCCAAATGAACTGTTGTAAATCGAGGACTACCTATATAACTTCTTGTCTTTTTGACACTTCTAGCTCAAACATAAAGCCACTTAACTTCTATATTAACAGTTTTCAAAATAGCCTAGAGGAGGGAAGGGTATGATACTTCAGTAAACTTCTTTCTGCTAAGTGGGCTTGTGTCCAAAATCAACCAAAGAACAGACTCTTTTTATTGCTTTGCTATGAGAAAGAAACCATTGCAACAAGAACGCCGAACTCAACAAAATTACCTGCTACCAGCTGTTAGAATATAACAATTACAGTGTGGACAATAAGAAAAATGTATTGAGTTATACATTAAATATAACTTATTAGTAAGCACTGATAGTTATTTTATGAAGGATTAAGACAATTGGAAAGGAAAAACAGTTTGAATATTAAATTATATTGTAAACATTTTATTATAATTACAAGCTAGAGATTCAGCACTGAAGATATTAATTTTTTGTATTATGCTAGATTTATGTAATAAGAAATTTAAAAAATGGGGATACAAATGTTAGAATAAAGCTAATTTGCAGAAACACACTATATTGTTAAAATTTCATTCAGAAATTGTTCAAATATGGCCTACCAAGTAAATGCAGGACTATTTGTGGATAAGTCCTAAATAATTAGCAGATTCAAGCTCTATATATATAAACAAGTTTTCATCTTGTCTACATATATATTCTGTTCTGTAATAACAATAAAACTTATGCCAACTGATCAAAAATCTGATGAAGAAAACTAGCAGTCCTTATCAATTACTATTACATGTAAAACCCTGAAAATATTTCAGATAAATAGCTATTATTTATCATTTGTCAACAAAGTCCTATTAATTTAATTAAGAATTAATAAGATTATCAATTTTCATTAGAAAAGGATACAAAAATATCTAGTAACAATACTCCAAAGCTCCCAATAAACCAAGGGAGATGATGCCAGAAATAAAGACTTATAAGATATTGTGTTGCAGGCAACTTTAAGACAAGACTCAGGCCATATGTGCCATTTCCTATCATGGCTAATGCAAACAAAAGATAAGATGTCCCATCTGTCGATCTTCTTTGGAACTAAAAGATAATATAGCAAAGCAGTGTTATAAGTAATTTATCATGTATTTGAAATAACTGTTTCATGACCATTGTAAGCTTTTGAATTGATCTTGTCCACAGTTCCTATTCAACACAAAAATAAGAACACAGGAAGCTACATTAATCAAATATAGTGAAATTGGACATAGATGAAATTGGAGTCTAGTATGTCCCTCCTTAAATCTTCCAAAATTAAAAAAAAGAAACCACCAATTGGAATCATTCTTATTTATTATTCAATATTTAGCAAAAATAAATTAGTAGTCATTAAAAGAATGGAAAATTGGGGTAGTATTGAAAAGATGACTGAGAAACTTGAATCCTGAAGAAAAGCACTCAGCATTATAATGTTTCCTTGAAAGGCTCCATTTGTAAAAAATTATTCAAGATTAATCTCAAATGCAGATCTAGAGTCTTGCCATCTTTAATCTCAGGAAATTTTTAATGACTCAGCACAAATAATGAGCTCTATTAAAACTATCAGTTTTTGATGGATACTGAAGAAATTGTTATAATTATTCCAATCCTGTTTCTTTTTAATTGGTGAAATCTAGCATTGCTCTCAATAAACTGAATCTAAATGAAATGGAAGTCCCTGTTAAAACCAGTAAGCATTTAGCAAATTCAGCTTATTTCAAACATAGTTCAACCGATATTTCCATGGTAATTGCTGTGTTTGCTGATCATTTGCATAATTTTTAAGATTTTTATCTTTAAATTGCAAATGGATGATTTGTAATTTTGGATATGCAAATAATATGTGTGATAATATGTGTGACATGGTCTACAGTGATTTTAGAAGTGAGATTGTAATTGATCATTCACTTTATCTATGAATGTTATAGGTAGCCACATTATCTTCAGAACCAATAAACTTACATTTTTATAGAGCTGAGGAATTCTAGATCCCAAGTAAAACACACATGATAAATAGCCACAAACGAAGCCTGATGTTTCAACAATGCCGTGAGACTTCTGAAGAGTTAACAAATAGAAAACTATTAAAATTTGCAGGAGGCAATTCTAAAATAACTTGTGAATAGCATGCTAGATATTAAAACAGTGAATATGGAAATGCTTGTCAAAACTGAAAACTGAGTATTCTAAACCTTGGGGCTATTAGATATTTTCTATATAATTTGAGTTTGATACAATCATTACAAATACTTTATAGTTCAGACGTCCAGTTTTTTGCCGTAATGCATGGCCGAGGGATTGCGGAGCTCCACACCCCATGGCTAGTTTCACCCTGCCAGGAGACCCTAAATGGGTCTAAAGTTGCCCCAAAGAGGTGACAAAGAAAGAGGGGCACCCCAATGATCGTGGAACAACGGTGGTCATCCCGCTGGATCCAGGGGAAGCCCTCTAACCCAAAAGGAGAAAGGTTGCCACACCTCAGTGACCAGCTCAAGCTACTTGCAGCCGAAGTCCAAAAGCACCAACCAGAACAACGGTGAACAGCGTGCTTGAAACTGGGTGAGGAATTCGATCTTTTCTCTCCTATTTTGTATCTGATTTCCTGGAAAATATACTCAAGAAGCAAAAATCCTCCCAAAGTGAGAAGGGAAGGAACTACACCCCCACCCTCCCATAGACAGAAGTGGGGAATTAAACTCTTATGGGGAACAAAAATATATTGAAATGAGGTCAAAAATACTAGTCTGGACAAATTTGAAAAGTAAGAAAACTGTTAAAACTCCATACCTGAAAAAGTATTGATGAAATTATATATATATAAATAATAATAATAACTCTTTGCTTCGAAAGTTGGAAAATGAACAGCTACTGACACCTAGTGGAAGATTAGAGAAAACTATAGCTGTATTGATTCAAAATTTGGCAAGATGCCCAGAAATAGCAAAAAAAACCAGATGGGAACAAAGCATTGGGCTATTTGATACAGAGTGAAACTATATGTGTTTAGAAATTGCTGACCTTCTGGGATTATAAACACACTGAGCTGCATTTTTAAGTTTAAGAACTGCTTGCAGAGAAAGAAAAACTTTGGCCTTTGGCTAATCTTCTACAGGGGAAGTTACTGGAAAGCTTTCAGGTGGTTAAACACTTTGGACAGAAATCTTGGCTGGCTGATAATCATAAAACCCCTGAAAAGAAGAACTGTTACAAAACACTGTTTTCAGTGATGCTTTGATAATTGAAAATGTACTGGATTACAAAAACCATATATAAAGATAAGAACTACACAAGATTTGGTTGTTTGGATTCTAAGATGGGCTGGTTTGATAAAGCTAATTAAAGAGACTATGGCACCGGTGAAAGACTACTTAGAGGAGGGAGACAAAATGGAGGTTGTATATTTATCTAAAAGTGACAGAAAACCACGCCTAACACCTCCTCCTGAAGACCCCAGCGTGGAACATCAGAGATCTGCAGGAATAATGACTGAAGACAAAGCAAATACATTCCAGGAGAAAATATATGCAATGCTATGATAGATTCAAATGACAATTGTCTTAAATCATGATGAGATTAAAAACAACTTTAATAACATAAATGAACATATTTCTAACGTACACTCACAATTAAACAACGCTCAAAAAATAACAATAAAGAATGAACAAATAAATCAGACAATAGAATACAAATCAGAGGAAAATGACTTAAATATGAGCTACAAATTAAGAGAACTACAACTTAATACAAACAAAAGAAAATCCGCAAAATTTTGCTACAACAAACGAAATAAAAAAGATGCTTTATCTTCCAGGACTTCAAAACAAACTTGAGGACAAAAAGGAAGATTTAATAAAATGAATTAAAGAACTGTCAGGAGAATCATTAAAACGTGGGAGACAAAAAGCGAATATTTACTTAATTTGTCTTTTTTATCTCCAACAATATCTACAAAAATATAACCTGGCAAGCTAAACCTACTGATTTGGAAAGTGACCTGGCAAAAGAAGAAGATTAGAACTAGATTTAAGAGATGTGATTCAACTTACCAGATGGAATACTATATGACTAAAACACCTGTTTGAATATGGTTAAAAAATATAAAGTTTAGATATAAAGAGGCCCTATAGTAAGATTGCTAGATGGCGTATTATATGATTAAATACTTGTTTGAACACCGTCAAAAGAATAGACAAAGCTTGGACATAAAGGGGCCCTATAGTAAGAGGGATAAAATATATAAGTAGTTTAATATTTTTATAATATATGAAATGTAAAATATTGAGACGGTGTATTTGAATGAAAAGTTTGGATATTCAAAGGTAATGAATTTTGAAAAAATTATGACTGATAAGAGTGGTTTCAATACTGAGGGGAAATTAAGCTTAAATAAGAATCTTGAAAACAGGACATATAATGACTTAATAAGATGACTTCTATAAATACAATTGAAACATCAAATGATTAGAAAAGATGTTATATGTTGATGTTATTGTTATATTTATAAATACTAGAAAAATGTTTATACCCAACTCTATATGTATTGAAAGTATTAAGAATTATATTTCTTTAATGTAGATAAAGAGAGAATATTGCTGGAAGAAGAGAGGACTAAGGAAATATATTATCAACTAACATAGTGATCAATTATAGAAATTAATTATTATTGTTTTTAAGTATATGAACCCAGAAACACATTGTTCACTAAGCACTAAAGATTGTTATTGTAAAAAATTAATAAAATATATTAAAAAAACAAATACTTTATAGTTCATAAATATTAAGATAAGTACTCCCTCAGGTACAGTTCATCTTCTGAGGACTATAGTGATATGTTTACAGAGTTTTCTTTGCAAAATATAGAAAGGGTTTGTTGCTGTCTTCTTCCAGAACGGTTTTTTTTCCAACTTCCATTATAGCCTACAATCATAGGATTTCCCATCCAAGTACTAAGTAGCTCCATTTCTGTGTAGGGTTTTGTTTTTGTTTTGGGAGATCAGTCAAAGTCAGCTTGCCTAATGTATCTACATGGCAAATTTGACAGTAATTTAAAACAAGGATTTACCTTATTGGATCCCAAAATAGTATTCTGGACTTTATTTCTCATTAATAGCTGAGTAGGTAAGAGCAAACAGAGTAGTAAGCATATCATGACCCAGGCTATACAAGAATACTTCATTCCGCCTTGAAAGACAAATGAAAAATAGGGCAAACAAAGTATTTGATTGCTTTAAAAAACTGTTTGCAATATAAATAGTAGTATTATAATATACTTGAGCAGCATAGGGGTTTTTTTTTATATTGACTCAAATGTTTTATCCTCATTGATCTTGCAGGAGACATTTTGCAATAACCCTATGTAGCAGCAGTAATGTTTATTTGTTCAATGTCTAGTAAAATTTTAAAATATACAACACAAAAGTAAAATCAAAGGGATGAAATAAAATACCAACATAATAAGGAGGTTGAAAAGATGTAAGATAACCTATTATAATTATATGTTAATTAACTGGGCAGATGTAAATCTAAAATACTGCAATATATAAAATAAAAACATACGTCACCTAAAACATAGTAAACTGAAGTGATAAATAATATAAAAGTGGTTATTTGATAAATAATATAAAAATGGTTATTCCAGGCACCAGATTTGTCTTATTTTCATTGCGCAACTCAACATTTGGTTACTGACCAAGTAATAAAGGATTTTGAATCTTCCAGTTGATTCACATACAAATTATCTGACCTTCCTTGGAATTTAAAGATTAGGGGAAGAACATAAGGAGACCTGAAATCCTTATAGAATTTATAGTGTAACAATACATGAAAAATAGGTTTGAACTCCTTGTAATCAAATGGGCAGGTATGCTTGGTTAATGGGGTTTTGAAGTATCTGCCTCGCACCAATGCAGATGATAAAATATTATGCCCTGACTTGGAAAAACGCTATCCTCAGCCTGGGGAAAGTTAAGATTTTGTAAGTATTTTGCTTCTCCTTCTTTATTGTATCCAATTTCTGTTATATTAGGGCAACCTATTACTTTAGCTTCCTCAAACCCTTTATCCTTTACTTGGTCATATCCTAAAGAAATTAGGAATACTCTGTAAAACTTGTACAATGCCAGCTTCTGCTCAGCAGCCTATTTCCAGGATGAAGGAAAATTATTAGTTAAAAATAGAGGGGTCAGCCCAGCTTGAAAGAATCGGATTTTCAGCAATTAATTCATCCACCTCCTTCATCCCCTTAACCTGTATTAAGGCATTCCTATCTTAAGCCTTAACTGGGTGTTTGCTGTTCCATTGGGAGCAGCAAGGACTGATTTCAAGAATTTTGTTTGCACCGATTCCAGTGCATCCTTCTTTGCATAAATGACCACTTGTGCATTGTAAAAGATTTTGGCCAGTGATGGCGAACCTTTTAGAGACCGAGTGCCCAAACTGCAACCCAAAACCCACTTATGCATCGTCAAGTGCCGGGTAGGTGTGGCCCATTGGGTGGGTGTGGCCCATTGGGTGGGTGTGGCCCATTGGGTGGGTGTGGCCAATTGGGTGGGCGTGGCTGCAGTGATAACGGCAGACTGGGTGGGACTAAAAAGTTCAATCAATCAATTCCAACCTTGCAAGAACTTTTTTTCCCACGAGAAGTTGAAATTGACTGAACTTTTTTTTTTTTTTTTGCACATGGCGGCGGAGGCCTAAAGCGAAAAGGTTTTATAAAACCCAGTTGAAGGCCTAGGACTGGAGCGACAACACGCGTGCCCACAGAGAGGGCTCTGAGTGCCGCCTCTGGCACCCGTGCCATAGGTTCGCCACCACTGATTTAGGCCAATGAACTGACCTCAAAAAATGTTGCAGGACTAATTGGTCTCTCTTTATCTAGAAAAAGCACTTTATAGTAATTGAAGATCTAAGGGTTAGCTACGTTACTTAATTCTGGTGCTCATTCCAGGTTCCTTTAGAATGGAAAACCACTGCAAAGTATTTAAACAAAATATGCTCTACTACGTCTATGATAGTTGAATGTCTCTAGCAAAGACCAGAATTTTAGATTTCTCAAAATTTACAACCAGTTGATTTTGTCTGCAGTACCATAATATTGCTGTCATTCTTTTCAACCCTACATAGGGCTTGTGAAATTATGGCAGTTTCCTCAGCATGGAGGAGTGTAGGAATTTTGCACCTTGATAGTTTAGAAGTCTGGGTTATGAAAAAGGTCTACCACTGAATTGACGTATATGTTCAAAAAAGAGGGGATAAAAATACATCCCTAATACATAGAACAATCAATATGTCACAGAGGGACCTTTGGGGATTACACCTCACTCTTATATTCTTATGGGAGACAGGCACTGCCCTTATGCCCATGTTGAAATGAAGTAAGATCACAAATGATGTCAAATGTTTGGCACTAATGGAATGTGATGTATACTTCCTTTTTGTTGACTAATACATACAGCTGTTACTGAGGACAAATTCATGCTGTAATTTGCCATGTACAACAAAATATCTTTCAGCAACCAGGCTAGTGATGAGTTATTCAGGCTTTTAGTTTCATCTTGATCTAGTCAACATGTTTTTCTGCTGATGTTTCCTGTACACTATTCTAAAATTACAGAATTCTAAATGCAACAATCTTAATCTTGCCCTATAACTCCATCATGCCATTTAAATTTGCATAGTTTGGGCAGTTTGAAATGTCACATATAAATATTGAACAAATTACACACTACTACAAAGATCTCAATTGAAAACACTTACATTTTGTTATCTTCTGATTTTTTAACTTATAGTAGAAAAACTGAGATATCACAATTATATCCATGTTAATATAAAAAATTGCAGTTACAGTCTGGAAAAAAGTAAAAAGAATCAAGCATAATTTCTTATATCAATTGATAGAATATATAATAATATACATCTCAAAAGTTTTACTCACTCAGTCTTGTTCTTTTCTTTTTAGAGAAGATTCAATAAAAAGAACATTCAAAAGTGCATATTTATGTGTATTAGCCGTTGTCAGGTGTAATACAGCTAAATTTACCTGTATTGGAAGTTGATTTGTCAAATAGCACCCAATAAAATTGGTGAGGTCTCCTGCAAGCCAACACAGCAGAAAACCCAAAGAGAGTGCTTGCTCCACTTTTCCATTCTGGTAGGCTACATAGAGTTGACTGGGGGAAAAACAACAACAACGGAACTGTCCAGCAATTCAGAGTTCATAAAATGCATGTCAGTCAATTCAGATAAAAGCAAAGATAAGGGCAGTATAGAGAAGAAAAGAGCCCTCTGAAATAGAACTGAATAGAACCATATAATATTGACAGTAATTATTTTCAGAGTACAAGAAATACCTTCTCTTGCAGGTTATTAATTAATTTGTGACTTATGACCATTCATTTAACAACTGTTTGAATGTACAGCATTGAAAAAAAGTGACTTATCACTGCTCTTTCCACTTCTGACCATTGCAACGTTATCAAAATGTGAGTGCTTGACAGCTGGTTTAACAACCACAGCGATTTGCTTAACAACTGTGGCAAAAAAAAAGGTTGTAGAATCAGATGCTGTAATGACTGTATTGCTTAATGACAGACGTTCCAGTTCCAACTGTGGTCGTGTATCGAGGACTACCTGTATTCATAGTGCACAAGCAAGGAATGAATTTGTTCTACTCCTCCTGTTTTGTGGCAAAGTCCACTTGTTTTGCACTGCACTCACCTCCTTCAAACAGCAAAGCTATCAATATATTCTGCTATTTAGGTCTGAGAGATAGTGACTTGCTCCAAGTTGGCTTCCATGTCCAAGGAAGGACTAAAACTTGGGTCTCCCCATTTCTAGTCCAGCCCCTTAACTACTACACCATAATGGCTTTCTATGAGCAAAGCATGGAAGTTAAGGGATTATTCATTAGGATTTCATGACTGAGAAAACATTGAGCTATTGATTATTCTGCCTCATCCCATTGTGGAGGTTTTTCCCTCAAAACACACATAATGATAACGTGGAACTGAGTCCAGAAAGAGCCCCAGTGAATACAGAGCAATGCATCCCACATATGCCAAGAATGGTTATTTCTTGATTTTTCAAAAAATAGTTGTGTATCCATTTTTCCTCCAAGATAAAGCAGGAGGAAACATTGTGTTCACTGCTCTTGTAGGAAGAGGCTTCAGATGACATAGATTGGTGTTTTCAAGACACAACCACAATAGAATAATTTATCAACCATCACAGTACCTTAAACAGAAGAAACATGCTGCTCTGGCTAATCTATTTATAATATGTAGAAAGAAACAGAAATCCATCAAAGAATAAACCAAACTGGCAATTTCTGAGTAAAGCCTCAGGCAAGATTGCTCATGTATAAAAGCTGGAAAATACTGAAAGATGTCAACTCACGGCAATGCAGCAAACAGAAAGCAGGCAATGGAGATCAGTCCCAGCAGAATGCTCCAATACTCCCATGCATTCCTGACACATTCTCCAAGAAGATGCCAAATCCAGGGTGTTCCATTCAGACACAATTTCTTAGCCTCTACTGGAGAGATATTTAAAGCAGGGGGATGAAGCTGAAGAGCCATCTATTCAGGTTCAGGGATATTACTTCAAATTTGGCTCTGCTTTGAACCCCATACAAATCCTTTTATCAATTTTGAATATGTTCTTTCCCTTGTCCAAGCTCCCACACAGAGAGGGATAATTTGCTTCCAACCTCACAGATGGGCCTGCAATTCAAACAAAATAACATACCCAGCATGAATACATCAATTTAAAAAGACAGATCCAAATTATTCTATTTGGACACATATGAAAGGCAAACTCAAAGCAAGGAAAATATTGTAGACATTAACCCACAGTGCTTAAACATTTTTAAAGATTGAAATTTGACATTTGACATTTTTGTAGTTATTGTTCATTTTTAATTCCAACACCAAAGTTTAAAAGGAGTTTAAAGCTCCTAAGCATTTAATCTGGCAAAAAAAAACCTGTGGTCTCATGGTTAATAAAATTTTATATATATATAAAGCCAATCAAACAGACTTCGTGGTTGTAAACAAGAACCAGAAGACAGCAGTGGTGAAAAGCTGGGGAAGTACCAGGGCCTGAAGGAGGAACTAGAGAGGATGTGGAAAGTAAAGGCCAAGAAGATGATGGTAGGACCATTTGAGCTGTGACACCAACACTGGAAAAGTGGTTCCAACAGATCCCATGAAAAACATCATAGCTCTCTGTCCAGAAGAGTGCAGTGCTAGAAACAGCCAAAATAACTGTGTAGAACTCTCAAACTCCTAGGCCTCAGGTAGAAATCCGAGACTGAGGAAGACATATACTTCTCATACAGGTGGGAATAGAATTTTTTTTGGGAAAACAGGAATATTAGCAAATAGACATAACAGAAGAAAGGAAAAACAATTATCACACGCATTTTTATTTTTTATAATAATTTGCCATTTTCACATTATAAGAATGGATGCCTATTACTAAAACATTTAAATATATGGAATCAAACGATTGAGCTTTTTAAACAGATTTGCCACAGTTCTCCTGAGTTTAATTTACTACATTTGTTCTGTATGCGTATCATGTTGCATCCTTTTGACCATTATCCAAATGTTAATGGCATTGGAAGGGGGGGAGTGGAAAGAGGAAACTGCTATTTTCCTGACAGAAAGAGTTTGTTATTTCTTACTTCTTCCAATTCTTTTTTCCACCTAAGATCTTCCAATATAAAACAGCACAAGGCTCAACAGAGCAAAGCAGTTTCCAGTATAAATGCAATGTTCTTTCTTGTACAACCCTGGTTTATTTCATGCAAATCCTTTTCACGGAGTTATACCCTTTGTAAATATTGGATTTGGATGGAATATTTTATTTTTTTAATTATTATCATTTATAGAATGGCATTTGTAAAGTTGTTTTGGAATAATTTCCAGATAGCTTACTATATAAAACATACTTTGAAATAAATAACACTAAAAATAATTTTGTTTAGCTCATTTTTTTTCTTTAAGCTGCTACAAAGCTCTTTATACTATTTATATAACTTTATTTTTTTAATACAAAATAACTGATTCTTGATATAGAAAAATGTTTAACTCAAGGAAAAATAACCTAGAAATATTTAGGAACAAATATGCATTAGAATGAAAGATAAAATTTTAACCCTTTATTTAAGATATGTTTATATTCTGTGTTTTAAAAATATGGAATCATTATCAGGTATAGGTTATATAGTTACAATGATTAATATGAATATCCTGTTTTGTTGTCATATATTTTACCTAAAATATAAATGAGTAGCTAAGGGATTTTAAAAGTAATTCTCCATATTATGTGAATACACATTCTGTGTAACTAATTTTTATTGAAAATTAAAGGATTGAATGCAACTTCCTAAAACTGAAACATTAAACTAACGAAATATGAAGGCAATATATCTTGTACTGAAACTTTCTAAAATTCATTTGTATATTCAGTATTATGAAACCAGAGAAAAGATTAAAATAATGACCTAACTTTGACCTGACCCTCTTCCCCAATCTAAGGGGATGTGTAGAAATGATAGGAGCAGGATGGTCCCTCAAATACCATGACTCCATGTCATGTAGGGATTTGTAGGTAATAACCAAGACCTTGAATTACATGTGGAGGCAAACTAGAAGCCAGTGCAGCTTGCAGAGCAAAGGTATAACATGGGCAAAGAAGGCACACCCCTAATTTTCCATACCTGTCCCCAGGCTAGAGACTTTCCAATTTCCAATCACCCAGAAGCCTACTTACCTGCCCCCATCAAGGAGTACCTACTCAGAATGGCTTCTGCCTACAGCACTCAACAGACCTCCTGACCTATCCACACACTCACATCTACCCAACTCTCCTGCTCTCACCGGACGCTCATCCAAACAGATCTAAGGGTGATCAGAGGCAAGGGTTATGCTTTCACACATCTGCTCTCTTCTGAATACTTGCCTAGTGCTAATTAGCAAAGTAGATATCCCAAATATGCATATAAGGTACTATATATTTGAGAAACAGTGAGATGGACTGTATTGCAGAAAAACTGGGATCTTTCGCATCTGCAATTTTAGATAGTACCTGTTATGTATAAAAGATAGGACTTAAATAGTAGACTTAGGATGTTACTTCATTTTATCCTCACAATACCACCTCTGTGAGACAACTTGGCTTGAAAAAGAATGACTGGCCCCAAATCACTGAGTGACTTTATACAGCTGAGGCCGCACATGACACAGGTCTCCCAATCTTTCTTCAATACCTCAATATAATTTGATTTACTGAAGATGAGATTTTGTTTTTGGAATATATCTGTTTTTACTAGAATGTAAAGATTATCAGATGTGAATCAATTAATCACCTTCAAATTGCTTCAGCTTGTATCCCATATTACAATAGATATTGCAAAATACTGCTTATACAGATATGACATTAAATTTTATTTTATTTTTGGAAATTTAAACAACAGACAAAACTTTTTTCTTTAACATTATTTATTTTTTTTCTTTTAAAAATCTATAGAAACTCAGATAATTTTACATCTGTATATTGCTCAATGATGTTACAGATTATTGGCAATTTATTATACTAATAGAAAGAGATTACTTTTTCCCTTATGTTGAAAAAGAGAATTTGAAAGCCATACTAACGTATTGTACATTTTATTGTTTGCTATTTAACTAAACATATCTAAGTCCCTTTATTATTCAAAGTCGTATTAATTTAATTGATTTGTCTTACATTGCAATCTTCACATACAAAAGAAGAAGGCCTTTTGAGTTTAGTGGGGATCTTACTCTTAGAGAAGTGACTACAGTGTTAGAAAATTAGTACTTTTCCTTAAGTTCATTGTCTTAGTTCCAACATCTTAAGAACTCTGACATTTTTTTAAAAAAACACTATATTTTATCATTATTTTTTTACAGTTTGAAATGGAGACAAAGAATGTGAAATCAGAAAAAAAATCAAAGTAAACAGCTGTAAAACTAAAACAGTAATACAGTGGGAGGGAAATCAATGCAATGTATTATTAAAGTAGAATACACTTCATTACCTCAGGGTCTGCATGTTCTTGAGAGGCCTCTGAGAAAACTCTAACAACATCAAACTGGTAGTGAATATTGGTAGAAATTAACATCTTGTATCCTTTAATAAAAACAAAACAATTTGGTTTAGTCAAACAAACATTTTGATTATGATATCATATCTTTCCTCATTCCCTTCTAGGAGGATGCCCAAATTTATTCAGCGATATTTACACCCTAAATTTAACTGGGCATCTATAAAGCTTAGCTATAAGCAGTATTACAGAAAGCAAGCAATATTATTTATATAGGTAAGCCTACAATTCTTATGAGGCTGAAGGTCTGACCTTTGGCTTTCTGCCTTTACAATATCTCCTTAGATTCCTGTTATTCTACTGTATGTTGCTAGTTAATGTTTAGTCCATACCAGCAATTGTGAAGCAATGATCTTACTATAGCAAAATTTTCATAGAAAACCTGTCAAGTGTGCTCATAGCCAAGGCTGGCATATGCTTTTAACCCAGTTCTACACTTTAACCTTTGGAGATTAACTGTTAAAAACAATGGTTTATATTTCAGGCAAGAAGATTCAAAAATAATCTCCAAAGTAAACAATTCCCAACAATGTAATTAGCAGAAAAGAACTAGCCATCTCCTACTAGATATACATATGCAAAGAGAATAATCTGGTTCAGACACTGTTTTACACCATAAATTGGGTTTTACAAATCACAGTGAATAATGTATATAAAACATTATGCCAAACCCTCATAAGCCACATTATGATGCAATGCCAACAGGGAGACTGTACAGGAGCTAATATCATACAGTAATCACAGATTAATAGAGACTAGCCCTTCAGCATCCTTCCATCACTTCTTCATTTTCTTGTCATTGTAAAGAGATAATTAATCTTAGGCAATGCTACAGTTGCCAAAAAAAGGTAAGTCCCCTCAGTTCCAGGTCAGCCTTTTTCAAATCTCCATGGAAAGCAAGAAAGAACGGGTGGAAGGGGGAAAATGCCTGTTATCTCAAATTTGGAGCTTCACATAAAGATTTGATCTTTGAAATGGTGCCTATGAGTTTAGGAACAGGATTAATGCCTGGATAGATGAAATTCTGCATATTCACTAGCTATCTGACACTGACAAATTATTCTGAATATATCAAAGGAAGAGCTTTCGCCTACAACTAAATTCTCCTCTCCTTCCTCAGCTTGGTGCCCTTCAGAAGTGTTGGGTTCCCATCAGTGGTGGGGTTCAAATATGTGAACAACCGGTTCTCTGTGTGGATGCTGCTTCTGGAAGTCCATTCTGGGTCTGGGCAACAAAAAATTAGCTACTGGTTCTGCCGAACTGGTGTGAACTGGCTGAATCCCACCACTGGTTCCACTGGTTCTCTTAAGTGCAATAATTAAAAATGCCAAATTTCATGTTTCTATTTCACGTTCTCTCTCTCTCCTCCCACCCCTCCACCAGGTGCCTTCCAGCTATGTTGGCCTTCAATTCTCATAACTGTCATCCTAGCCTACCCTTCATCCTTAATGGATGGGAACTGCGGGAACTGAAGTCCAAAATATCCGGAAGCCACCTGGTTGAAGAATGATGGCTTAAAAACCATTCTTAAACCAATGTAGGCTGAGGAAGCGCTCGGAAGAACCAGGCAGATATTTGGCTCAAGGCTTTGGGCTCAGTGTTTGGAGAGGTCAGGGATGGTTCTTATCTGACCCGGGAGAAGCCTCCTAAAGGCTGGCTCCACTCTCCCTGGTTTTCCAAATCGGTCTTCACTTCGGTCCCGCTGGCTGCTTCCTTCTACCGCCTGCCCGCTTCCCCCCGCGGTCCAAACCTCCTCTCTCCTTCGACCCGGCCAACAAAAGCAGCGGGACGGCGAAGTGCATCCCCGCGGCACCAAGCGCCGAGCGGCCGTTTCCTTCCTTCGGCCGCAGCGGAGGAAGAGAGAAAGGAGGCTGAGGATTTGCAGCTCCCTCTGCTGCCCGCCAGGCGCCTTTTCGCAGGCGATCCTCCAGGAGGGGAGAATAGTTTCTCGTGTGCCTGTGCCTGTGAGTGTTTCGGGGGGGGGGGGGGTGTTGGGGGGGGGGTATCTTGGGGCCCGGAAGTTCCAGACATCCCAGTCAACGTTTGCATTGTCCCGGCGCTGCTCTGCTGGGTAGGGACATCCTGGGAAAAAAAATCTCCAGGTTATTATTTTATCCCCCCCTCCCGTATCAATTTAAGCCTGAATTTGCTTTGAAACGTGGTTCTCACACACACCCTTGAATATTCTATGAAATAAAAAAAGATGAGGTATAAATCAAAGAAAGTTCCTGACAATTCGTTATGGTTTCAGTGCCTGGTTCCATCCTGCCCATATACTTTTCCTCACGATAAAAGGCGTTGCATAAAACGGCTGCTCGTGACCAAGGAAATGAGATACTGCTTTGCCTTTCTTTGTTGTTTTTTTTTAGAACATAACGCATCCCTATCAGTTACCTTGTGTAGTAGCCTAAGCACATACAGGTCCCCCCCCCCCAGGATAATATGAGATTCATAGGGTTTCCTGCCTGAGCAGGAGGTTGGACTAGATGACCTCCAAGGTCCCTTCCAACTTTAGTATTATTATTATTATTGTTGTTGTTGTTGTTGTTGTTGTTATTATTATTATTATTATTATTATTATTATTATTATTATTATTATTATTATTATTATTAAGGCATTGCTCCAAAATGTTAGGTCTCCATTGGGAATTATCTTCCACCAATAAGACCAAACAAATATATATCTGGATTTTTGAGAGTACCAAATAAACATTGTGGAATTGTAGAAAAAACAAGGAGGCCCGCAGGGAGTGATCAAGATGGCAGCTACAAGCATGTGATCAAAACCCTGCCTCATGATGTAAGCAAAAAATGGCAGGATTTCAATCACATGGAGGTGGCCACCACCATTACCTTATTACTTTGTTTATTGCTTTATTTATTTGTGTGTTTGTTTATTTCTCAAATTTATTTAGTCGACCATCTCGCCAAAGGTGACTGTGGATAGCATATAATAAATAAAAATTGTTACTATTAGTATTTTAATAAATTAAATTATTACTTTTAATTACTATTTTTCTTTCCCTGATTAACTGAACTTTCAACCAATTTCTGGTGTTACTTTTACTTGTAACTTCATAAGACTAATGGTAGCAATTGTTAGGTGTGCACCTGTAGTATGTTCTCCATTGGTCTACCAGTGACACTGACCACTTGCTTAGATCAATAATTAAAATGACTTTAAAATTCATGGAACAATGGATCTAGCAGTGATAATCAGTTAAGATATTAAATGACACATTCATGCTGAGATACACTTCCATACAGCAGATGCTGGTACAGAATATAAGGGATGGTAAAAGTTTCATAGATTTTGGCTGCTTATAGATTATTGCAAGCAGTATTTTCTATGATGTAACAAAGCAATTATTACTATACATGCTTCAAAATAATTTGGAAAATACTTCACATCCTGAATGAGCTATCAAATCTTGCTGATATTCATTAAAACTTTAGTTTTCCAAGTTTCCACATAAACTTGGAAAAAAAGTCAAGATCATTATATATAATTGAATCTGGTTTCATTTATCATAATTGCATGAATAAATGCTCATAACCTTGAAACATCCAATCTTTGGATGTTTCAATCCAAAAGCAGAAAGATGCTTCCGAGTAGGCATGAGCACACATGCTGTATCTTCCTTCCTTAAAGATTTTTTCTTTTTGAAATATTAAAGAATTTTCCCTTTCACATGTTTTTTCTTTAAAGAAGCCTCATCTTTTCTTGAAATGGCATACTGTACATCATTTTTTTAAAATAAACATGACCATGTTATGTATATCGGTAAGCTTGCTCCTTAGTTCTTACTAAGGAAGTTTGACTGACTGAAAATAATACAATATATTGCTTATGAATAAAGCATGTGTTTATCTGCTCCTAATCTTTTAACAGTCTAAATCTGATCAATGCAGGGTTTTCAATCAATACATCATTTCCAAATTTTCTGCTGAAAAAAATCCTAACAATCTAGTGATGCCTGTGATAATAGCAACTTGTTAGATTTACCACACTTATAGCCATATTTAGGGGTTTTTTAATAGTCCATTTTAATATGATTTTTATATAAACTTTGAACAATTCTAAAGTAGCTGCCCACCCACCCTCAAATAGAACCCTTTACCAAACTTCAGTCTTACTTAGGCCTACAATTCCTGGAACTCATAGCCAGAGCTTCCTAGGAATTCTTGTGGCAAAAACATCCACATCTCTTCCCATCAGCAGCTTTAAGATGCAATACCAGTCTTTAGAATTAGAGTGATAGCTGTATCAAGCTAAAGTGAAGAGTGAAGAATGGGAAAGGTACAGAATGGGAAAGGAGCAGTCAGAATGGTGGTGCAGTCAGAATGCAGAGTCTGATCCTGACTAGCTCAAGGTTGATTCAGCTTTCCATCCTTCCAAGGTCGGTAAAATGAGGACCCAGATTGTTGGGGGCAAAATGCTGACATTTGTAAACCTCTCAGAAAATGCCATGGAGTGGTACATAAGTCTAAACTCTATTGCTATTGCTTCAGCCAACACAAACCATAAAAATATCTGGCATTTTTAAAAACAAAAACAAGGATCTGAATCTTGCTTAGTGTGGCACTTCTTATTAGAATAAAATAATTCTTTCACAATGATCTGGGCCCCTTTTTTAATGAGTATGGTTAAAATTCATGTTCTGAAGCTTCATATGCATTTTTAACAAATACAGTACATGCAGAGAGCTAGATTGTGAGTGCCACCTTGTGAATGAAAATGTGTGGGAGAGAGAAAGAGGATATGCAAAAAGGCTTGTATCTGCTCTGAACTGTGTGGCACGTTTCTCAAAACATCTGGAGGCTATTTTTCACATTAATGTTAATCAAAGTGAGACACCTAGTATTGATAAGATTGTTCTTAACATTAATTCTAGGAAATATTTTTAATGCCTCAAGAAAAATTACTGCTGTAAGAAGAATAAAATTCTCATTTTTTT